TTTAAGCATTCAAGAAAAGTCATGTGCATGATTTCAAAAGGACTTGCAAAGAGAATGAGCTGGTATATAATCTTTGCAAAGCTCACGACTAAATATGTTTAAGAAGGCACGTGTATGATTTTATAGATGACTCATAAAGAAAATGATATGGTGCATACTTTTTGTGAGGTTTTCAAATGGAACGTGTCTAATGCTTTTACGATTTTCATCACGATAGTTTTAAACGAGGAATGAATATATATACTTTTAATAGGGTGTGTCCAAAAGAGGAAAATAAGTTTTTATCATGCAAAAAAATATGTTCGGTTGCATTCTACATGGTTGTTGTTACTGAATTTTAGCTCACCGTTTGTCTTATGGCGTACATGAACAAAGTGATATTTTAAGGATGTTGGTCGAGAGTTACGAGTTTGCCAAATGTGTACTCGTAGGTAGGTTTAAAGTTTAAAGGCTAAACCATGGCTAGATTTTGGCCAGCTTTTGGTTTGTAAACTTATGCACTTTTGGATTATTCTTTGGCATGTCAACTTGCATATTTATGAGATTAAAGGATTATAAAATGTTTATATTCCATATGGGCCATATTGATACATATATATATGGATTTGAAAGTTAATGAATTGGTTTTATTTCTATAAAATATGTTGATTTTAAATTGTTTAAATCAATGATGTACGTTTAGAGAAATTGTATTAAGTTTTTGAAATTGTTAGTTATAATATATTAAACTTCGGATGCCTTTAACTTTAAGCCGAATGAACTTTTGCCGCGAGTTGTGACAAAGACCTAGGATAGAGGACACAAGTGCATTGCTTTGCATCCTCGAGCATGAGGCGATTCAAGTAGCACTCTTAACCTCCCTATTAGGCCACGAGCACGACACTCGAGGATGAGCATTCTCCAACTAAGGGAGTATAATGAGCATCAAGACGAAGATTCGAGGACGAATCTTTTTGAAGAAAGTGAGAATGACGAGAATGAAGGAAGTCAAGGTTATGTTGATGTAATTAGTATAATTTATGGATTTGCTTTAATTTAGTTTGGGTGGAATTTGTTATTTGAGCCTTGTTTAGGCATGTTTTTAATTTTGACGAGTTAGGAATTAGCTATTCTCCAATATCTTGGGAGATTATAATATTTTAGAGATTGAGGCATAATTTAGGTTGTTATGGTTTTTTTTTTTTTCAATTTATAAAGAGATATTGATATGTATGAATTTTAGGTGTTTTAGATTTCAATAAAAGTGAGGTATTTTTCACCTTGGTTCTCTAAAGAAGTTACGGAACTTATCATGTTTCAATTGATAAAACTTGTTGTGTTTAAAAACTTATCACTCCCTTGCTTGCTTGTCCGAGTGTGGTGCCTATTCCTTCTTTAAGCCTACGATTCAAGTCTTATTTAAACTTAGTGTCGAGGTTCGTAAACAATCTATAATCCGATCTTAGCTTTTTTAGGAAAGATTCATTTTGTTCGTGGGTTCTTGAACAATTGATTTACAGAGTTCATATCAATTGGTAACAAAGCCGAGGCTCTAAATCGATTGGGTTATCCAAAAACAAAAAATCTTATTTGCGATCCATGTGTTTGATACTATGACACCAAGATGAGTGTTTTCCAATCGAGGGAGTATGATGAGCATTAAGATGAAGATTTGAGGAAGAATCTTAAGGAAAATGGAAATGGTGAGAAAAAAGGAAGCAAAGACTATATTAGTTTAATTATTATAATTTATGGATTTAGTTTAATGTATTTTGGGCCGAATGTATTTAGGCCTTATTTTTATGTGTTTCATTTTCCAATATCTAGGGCTAAGTCTTGTTCCAATAAAATTAAAGACTTTTATAATTTAGGAGTTATTGGTGTGACTCCTATAATTTAGGTGTGTGTTTGGCGTGATTCAGGAGCTAATAGAGTTGGTTTAATTTACCTATTTATTAGAAATTGAATTTTGTTATCTTTTAGTTGTTTCAAAACCTATAACAAATTTAGCTTTTATGTACTCTAAGAGAATGAAAATATGATATTGAAAAATGAGATTCTTAGAGTCTCTCTTTGGACTCTTCATAAAACTCGCCGAACGTATCATGAATTTATAAATTCTTATGGTATTCTAAATATAACTTATCACTCTCATTCTCATCTTTTCTAGAGTATGACATCAATATCTTTTTTGTAACTTTTGTTTGTGCTTCTTCTTTTTTTATATATTTAGTTGTTTCAAAACCTATAACAAATTTAGCTTTTATGTACTCTAAGAGAATGAAAATATGATATTGAAAAATGAGATTCTTAGAGTCTCTCTTTGGACTCTTCATAAAACTCGCCGAACGTATCATGAATTTATAAATTCTTATGGTATTCTAAACATAACTTATCACTCTCATTCTTATCTTTTCTAGAGTATGACATCAATATCTTTTTTGTAACTTTTGTTTGTGCTTCTTCTTTTTTTACATATAAATATATATATTTTAGGCATTAGGTCAAAATTTACACCTTTAGAATCTAATTTAGCTTTTTTGAAAATAATTCATCTTGTTGGTGAGTTCTTAAACTTTTGATTTACGGGATCCATATCAGTTGTTCATCTTGTTTGTGGGTTCCCGAACAATTGATTTATAAAATTCACATCAATTGTAAGTAATTGTTCTTGCAAACTTGTAATCTAGGGACTAGATAGATTGCAAATCTCTTCTAGAAAAGATTGCATTTTGTTTAATTTAGTTTTATATTAAAAAAAATATATATCAAAAACATCATTGGAACAAATGGTAGCATGCTTAGAATAATTAATTGAATCTATTTACTTTTGAATTTAGAAGTTGAATTTAGAAATTGGACTGCCTAACACATTACTATCCAATCATCTTTCATTTATTTGTTACAAAGTCAGTCACAAAAGAACCGCAGACAGTATGCATATCCTGAACGCCCCTCCCCCTAAACTTGTTGGAAGTCTGAACACAAAAATGAAAAGATAACCGCAGACAGTATGCCTATCCTGAATTCACCCCCAACTTGTCAGAAGTCTGAACATGAAAATGAAAAGATAGCTAATGAGTTGCGTAATTCATTCTTGAATTGAATGACTAGAAAATAGCACAAACTTCACAAATTTCGCAGCCTTTGCCTACGGCTATACACCCAAAAAAGAAAAAAATAAATAAAATTAAAATCTATAATACAATCGATTTGTTCATTTAAATCATGAGGAGCTGAGTGAGAGTTTTCACTAGCATTTAGTAAATTAGAATTCTTCTTTAATGTCACTCGGATAACGCGCCAAAAAACTAACTTCCCTTCTGTTCTTGCTGTTGCTTCCCCTTAACTGCTGCTTTCTGCGAAATATCTATGAGATTTCTTGAATTCATGACAATGTCAGCAGCTTCCAACATCCGGAGCACCTTTGCAAAAGAAAATTATATATATATATATATATATATATATATATATGTATATACATAATTGGTAGTTAGTACATCTATCTATTAATTATCTACTGATGCATGATCATATGCACTAGCAACAGTAAGCAACATAAACTGAAGCAGCCTACGTTGGATAAACTCTATCATTCACTCTCCAATATGTACTATCCAAATACTGACAAGGCCTGATGATGAATTATTTTAGTTGTAAATGCAGATGACTGAGCATTGACTGATGCAACTTCTCATCTGTGAATGCTGCACTCCAAATTCCTACAGAAGCATCTTGGAAACTAACTTTCTCACAATTTGGCACCAAATTAACCTAAAACTCTCCTTTGACCAAGACTGCAAGTGGATAATACAGTACATAACAGTTTCCTCTTAGCATCTTTTTCTGCTACTCTTTCAAGTATTATCTGCAGCTCAACTGAACATCTTCACTGGTACTTAATTGATAGACCCAGAAGAAACAGCCCTTCCACAGAGAAGGTCAAATTTGATATTCACAGCATGAAAATCATTTATTTCAACTTCCATAAAAATTGGCAACAGAAAGTGCTGGTTCAAGAAATGATATGATTGGTAATTCCTGGGTTGTGAATCAAATGATTAACTTGACAAACTGGATCTAATCATCACCAAGAAACAGCAGGTGCAGCTGGCCAGTGCAAGTGATTCTCACCATTAAAATTTGGTGGTCCAATTATCATTTAACCAGGTGCATCCTCTCATCAATTGTTGCTGTGATACTACTTCAAGCAAATGCAATGTATGCTCAATAGCAGGCAATTTCTTTCCTATTTGTAAGCATTGACATTGATTATGAAACAAATCTTCTCATCACATTAAATTATGGGATACAATGGAAGAATTGCATAGGAAGTCAATGCATATTGGCAGGAAGAGAGAGCATTTTTGTCATATGTGAAAGAACCAACAAATGCCTCCGCACCTTATGCTATTACAATATGAAAATAAGTTTATGCTAAAAAACATTTGTAGTTACCTGTGACATGCAAGGCCTTGAATGAGGGTCCCGCTGTATGCACGATGAGGCACATTGCAACATGTTATGGACCTCTGGCTCTGAATAGCAGTTACTTAAGAATGGATCCACCAGTTCATGAATAGCATGCTTTTCTAGGAGTGGACGTGCCTGCTCCAGATATAATGACATTAGCAAAGAACAAGAGACAAAACAAACCAGAGAAAAATTCATTCCGTCTTTTGAAAAAAAAAAAAAACAGGTTAAAACATCTTTATAAAAAAATGCCATGGAATTTAGCCACTATGTTAGATTTTCACATATTTAAAACTAGAGTTCTTGAACTGCTACCCATTCAGTTAGGCACTGTTGGCCTTTGGGTCGGTTTATGTCAACAGCTTTCCGTCCAGTAACTAGTTCCACCAATACTACCCCGAATGAGTAGACATCTGCTTTTTCTGTGATTTGGCCACTTTGAGCATATTCTGGAGCCAAATACCTGAATGAAGGCAGGGGGTTTTCACTTAATTTCTAATTGTTAGCAAATAAAAAAGACAAAAAAGAAAAAACAGTTACGATCATACCCGAATGTTCCAATTACTCTTGTTTCAACCCCCATGTCTCCATTTGGTTGCCACCTTGCCAGTCCAAAATCTCCAACCTGACATCCGAAAAATGGAAGTCAGATCAAACATCAACATGAACAAGCAACAAAATGACAAGTATTTCATGAACCATGAATTAAAATAGAAGAGAAATGTAGTGTGATGAGAAGAATGGTGATCAACTACATGTAGCTAGCAATGAGGTCATAGAGACATAAAAGAGCATAACATACTAATGGTTCAAAATCATGGGTGATGAGGATATTGTTTGGTCTCATATCCCGATGGACAATACAGCCGACTCTACATTCTTCATGAAGGTATCTCAACCCCCTTGCCGCTCCAATTGCAATTTTTTGTCGCGCAGACCATTTCAATGGATCTTGATCACATCCTTAAAAAATTTAACACAGCACTGTTAACTATCTTGCCCACAGAAATGAGAGGATTTATTAATAAATCAAGTTTTACAAGTACATAAAATCAAGGCTAGCATATTTCATTTCTGAAGGAATTGTCATGTCTATCAAATGGAATTTTCTAAAGATCAAGTGACACCATGATTGTTGGGAAATTTTGATAAGCCAGGTGACGTCAGTAAATCATTCTACATCTAGTGAAAGTGTCTGGGATATTTATCACACATTGTTCAAGAACTCACCAAAAAGATGTAAATCCAAAGATCCATTGCAAATGTATTCATAAACTAGCAATCTTCTTCCATCCTCCACACAGAATCCAATTAATGTCACTACATTTCGATGTTGAGCACAACTTAAAACCTCAACTTCAGAGCAGAACTCTATATCTCCTTGAGAACTAGCCAATTTGTGTTGCTTTACAGCAACCACCTGACCATTCATTAGCATTCCTCGATGAACAGAACCAAATCCTCCTGTGGCTAAGAAATTTTTTTGTGAAAATCCATCCGTAGCATGTTCCAGTTCAGCATAAGTAAACCACTTGGGAGGACTTCCAAATATGGGAGTCTTGTGTCGACATACTGAACACAATGGAGGAGCACCAAGGGGAGCATTTGTGAACAAGGAAATTGCTTCCCTGACACTTTTGCTTAAGTTCTGATCAGTTCTGTAATTCAGCACTCCAATATCAGGTTCTCGGTCAAGCTTAGATAAATTCTCCAGCAAGTTCTTATATGTGGAAGCCAGAGATGTATCATTTGTTCTATTGAAACCCTCCGCGACAATTTTAGTAAGTTCACCACTAGAACTAAGAATGTCATCCATCCATGGCTGGAAATATAATCTTGTTGATGAAGGAGCCAGCTTTTCACTATTTGAATCAGAATCAGATTCGTACTGGCTTAAATTTTCTTCAGTAATATTTGAATGCCCTTTCTTCTGATTCCCATAAATGCCTGAGAGAAAGAATGGTGAAGTCCCTGGATCTGAGCTTGACACTGATGATGTTCCAACATCTGTTGGAGTCAATGATGATTCATTCTCTGGACTACTTGCAGGAGTCACAAATGGCCCTCTCTGTACATCTAGCTGCTCATGCTTACTGTCAAAGTCTTTTGAAGTTTCTTCTGTATCGAATGGAAATGACAAAGGGATCCGGGGTTCCATCATTGGTGATTCAACCAAATTCAAGCGGAGAACCTTTGCTCCAGAACATTTCATAACCACAACATTGCATTTTAGCTCTCCCATACAGCTTTTCTCCTCACGCTTCAGATGTCTGTCTCAAAACATGAGTAGCTGTTAATTGAACATGTAGAATAAGTGGAAATAACACCAAGTTCTCGGCTAAAAGGCTTTTGAATGTTCAAAGAGTTAAGCTCGTAATATCTGTTGTGATATCAACCACCATGAAGTTGCAAACAATCATGATTCTAAGATGCAAAAGTTTTTCTAAGAAACAATGTCCGTGATTTAACATGCAAGAAAATAAGGTTTACATTATGTTTATTACTTGTCCAATATAATCCAGTTAGATTGAGCCTTCTTCACTTCAGCAGCCACCACTCCAGAAGATGAGCTAGAAACAACTTTTACCCTGATTTTTATCTGTTCAGAAGAATCAAAAGGTGGAAAAGACTCAATACAAGAAGGGAGCTTGTAAGAACTAAATTCTGCAAAGGTACTTAATGCACCTTCTCAGAGTCATAAACAGGATGGAGTTGAAGTATCATTTGAGCACACAAATCCGAAACATCGTCTCTTTGATCTAACTGGGTTCCTGATAGGGACTTCCAGTGACCAGTAGTGCAGTCACTGGTTAATCTTGAGAATCCCCATAACTTTTTACCTGGAAAATAATATTTGATCCACTTTAGTCACCAATGTCAACCTCCTTGAAGTCAGTTTAAATGGACATAGAATAAAGGGAGAAAATAAACAACACAGGCCCTCAACTCAACATTGCAACGTATTTGATTAGATTCAATGTATATTCAAGCTTATTACAGAGAATTTAAGTTCAACATTGGCATGTAGCTGGCCTACTATTGCTATGCTGTCTTTTGTAGGTTTACTAGAGTTCTGTTAACACATTGAGACCGGAAAATGAACCAATATTGGATATGGCATTTACAGTTAGTAAGTCAAGATAATTTGGCATCCTCAGTTATTCGTGTGCTCCCTGTACTAAAATTTTGGAATTGAAGGATTCAAAAGATAAGATGAAGTTCCAAGGCTCAATCAAACTTTTCATCGAACCAACTAAATCTCAAGATCATCTGTGTTCTGCTAATTTCTCGGGTTAAAGAGTAAATTATCGCAAGATGCTCAGAGGCCATAAATTAGTAATGCAGAATTTAATAGCCACATAATTCTGTGGCATGTCCTATACAAAAAGAATAATTTATTGACAACGATATTGGTCAGGTATCACATGAAATGAAGCCCAACAAACAAAGGAAAAAGGGCATTTATTGCTAACCCACCAAAATTAGAAGGGGGAAGAAAGAGGATTACTTGAAGAGTGAGGAGGGATGACAACCAGCAATTTGATAGAGTCCCCAGGTTGAACAACATGAGTCAAAGCCCACACCAAAGCACTCCTTGGTATCTCTTTTGATGCCTTAACAGCAACCACCACCACTTTCCCAGCCACGACTGAAGAAACTAATTTCCCATTCATGTTTGTTTAACACCGCCAGCAAATTAAAAAAGAAAACAAGAAAGAAAGTCTAAAACCCTCCACCTTGTTCAGCACAGTATTCCATAGCCACAACCCACATCAAAATTCTGCATAAAACCAAATCACTGAGACTGCATTTCAATGTGACACAGAAACCAAGATACTTCCAAAGTGAAAATTGACATGCGTTTTTCCCAACTGGGGTACTTTCGTTTTTCATGTAAAACAACTTCGGATCAAGCAAAACAACCAAGTTTTGCAAAGCACAAGTTTCTTAATTTCTTTTTTCTATTGTTCATGTAAAAAGCGTGAGGATTGAGGTTATAAGAAAAGAGTGGACCAACTATAAGAAGCTGAAGCTGGGGTGGTAGCACAGGTTTTGCAAGCGTTTCAATCACCTTCTGCTCCGGCTTGTAGATAATTACGGGAGACAAGGCGCCAATCAGTCAAAGGAAGAAAGGAACAAAAAGACAAAAACAAAAAGCCAGTTTTGCAAGACGACACTTGCTTCTTGATCCCAAATATATTACTCCAAGAATAATCACGCAATTTTAATTTTAAACATGAAGCTTTGTCTTTTATTTTATCCCAAATATTTTTGCATATAGGTTTATCATATTCATTGGCAAACTCATTGATAAATAAATGGTATTTTTTACATTCACATATATTTATAGAAATTCCATGGTATTTATATTTAAATTATTTTTATAACTTAAACTAATTAAGTGAAAATATATAATTTATTTCTCAAAAAATTTTAATATAAATTTTACACTTAAAGAATTTTTACATTATCATATGAATAAAAAACTCTTAATTGTATGAAAAATTAAATTAAATTTTAAGAGGTATCATTCACATTCCTCATATGTCTCTTATTATTATTTTTTTTAAATATAAACTACAAATCAATAAAACTAACTTCGAAATACATAAGGTTATTCCCTCCTTTCAAACAAGATTGGAAAAAGAATCAACATGTGAGTTTTAATATGCAAAAGACAAATTAGTTTTGTCTCATATCTTTTCCCAATAAGTTCATATTTTCAAATTTTTTTTCCAAAAGAGTTATATTGCTTTTGTACTTACTAAAATACTGATAAATATCAAATTGCCTAAAGTTAAACCATTGCCATCAATTTGAATGTGCTAAACCGCATCTTGTATTTTTATAAAACCATCAAATACGTCATTATATTTTCAATGTAGTCAATTAAACATGTGCATTCTCAATTTTAGTTATTTGAGTATAATTTTATAAAATTAATAATTTTTATATGTTAGATCGAATAGAAATATATTACACATGTGTATAACTAAAGGGTTTACTCAATAATTGATCCATGTACACTTTAAATTTTTTTTTATTAAGATCTTGTATTATTTTTCAGCTTAATTGGAACTTTATACTCTTATGAATTTATTGATTGAGATACTTCATCATAACGTTGTTAACCATTTATCCTACGCGGTGGTTTAAAAATGATAGTAGTCAATCGATGAATCGACATGTGAAAATATGAATAAAAAAAATTGTCATGTGTCATTGCGTGATTGGTTACCGTTAGTTTTAACTTGCCACATTTGATGAATAGTTAACAACGTTATAACATACGATCTCAATCAACAAATTTATAAGAGTAGAAGGGTTTAATTAAGTTGAAAAAATAATAGAGAGTATCAATAAAAAAAATTAGAATTGTATAAAGATCAATTATGAGGTAAACCCTATAACTAATATATGTGGATCCTACTTTATATGATTATTAAAAAAAAAAAAAGAATTAGGTTAATGTATAAAATTATTGATCTTGAAAAATCAATCTCAATTAACTAAAATTGAAAAATACATGTATTCAATTAATTAAATTAAAAACATATAGACTTATTTGATGGATTTATAAAAACATAGAAATCAAGTAGCGGGTTTAGCCAATTCATTCTTCTAAATGCCACATTAAATTCCAAATGATTTGTTTCCTTGCTAAACATAATACATTCTTGAGTTATAACACTTGAGTAACATATGTCGTTGCAAGAAGTAGAGTTTTTCCAGCCTTGCGAATACAAAAGAAACTACTCTCCTTTTTTAAATATGTACATCTCTTTCAATTTCTATGATTTTCACTATTAATTTTTGTTATACTTTCAGGGTTTTAAAAATTATGTTATTGGGACACCAAATCATTGCTAATGGAAAACGCCAAATAGCAGGCGATAGGAAACAATATTCATGTTATTAATACTTTATTTTTAAAAAATTCTTTTATTTTGTAATGCAGGATTACATTAGACAATTTTTTTTAAATAAAAAATATATTTTAGAAAAGTATCGTTAAAAGTTACTGATATGATATTATAATTAATAAGTTTTTTAAAATGTGTGAAAAAAAAACTATGAGTTTGGAAAAAAGAGTATTATTAAATGTAAGTAATTTTAGTAATAAGTTAGCCTATCTCTGTACTTTCTGCGTTTTGGGACTAATGATACTCGCGTGAAAAGCATATCTTTTAGAAGTTACTACTCTGTGTGTGCTCGTAACTGTGTCCTTGTGCTTTTTTTCTTTGTTGTACGTGTGTTTAGGCCAATCAAGTCTTGTCAAATATTTTCTTTCAAGCTTTGGTTTTGTTCAAAATAAATGAGGAGGCTCTGTGTATAACAACCATCCTCCGACCAATTAAATACTCTATTAATAAACATTTGAATCTATTTTTTCTTTTCCTTATCTTTACTTGCAAATCTTTTTAATTTTTTTAATCCTTCTTTCAATTCTCTCCCACTTGACGAGCTAAAACTACCCATCAAACTATATTTAGGAGATTATTACCTCCATTATTCTTTAAATTACTGAAAGCTGAAACCATGAACACTCATTTTGGCAACAATTTGTTAATGCTCAAATAAATATTTTTCAATTGACCTTTGGCAATTGGGTCAAATTGATAAGTTGTGAAATTTTAAGGACTAAATCCAACTATTCAAAAACAACAAGAACTAGTCAAGAAAAGGACAAGGCAAATTTATCAATTGTTGAACAATTAGTTGGCCCCAACAACGAGATTCGAGTGCAAGTGACGAAGTATATTTCATGAATTGTTTTTAATAGAATTATTGTTTATTTAGAAAAAAATTATTGTAATAAGAATTTCTTTCCTATTCAGTCTAGTTTGGCTTCCAAATATATTTTACCATTAAATTTAATATTATCTATCAATAAATAATGATTTTCATTATAATTTTTTGGCCAACCCAACAACACTTTTTTTTTCTTGCAATTTTATTCTTTATCTTTCTTTATAATTTTATTCTTTATCTTTCTTGTAATTTATTTTTCTTTACAGCTTTGTGTTCAATTTATTTTAATTTCAGCTTTATTAGAATTTTTTTTTATCTTAAAACTTTAACTCTTTTGTTCAATTTTAACTTTTTGGCTTCTTACACTTTTCTTAGAACCCTCATATTTTATTTGATTTTTTTTAAAAAAATCTAATTCGGACTTTCATTGTATGTTTGTGGAACCTGCATTCATTTATTATGTTCACATTAGGTGTTCTAAATATTGCATCCATCTCCTCGAAAGAAAATAATTTTAATTAGTAATACAACCATACTAAACTTTCAAGAAAAATAATTGAAACAAGATTTAATCATGGCATGTCAAAAACTCGTGTTAGCAAACAGGCAAATATTAATCTCTAATTAGTAGTTATTAATGCGTACATATTTATAAATATATTCTATTCTCAAAATTTTATAATAAGTTTTGCAATGAAGTTGCTATATATACTTGCTATGTTATTATCCTTTCTGTCTTCATAGACTAGGGGTGAGCAAACGATTTTTTGGTTCGATTTTTAACAATTTCGATTCGGTTTTTTATTCATCAAACACAATAAAATAACAATCGAACCGAACCAAATTATAATTCGATTACTAAATTTCGATTTCAAAATATTTTGATTGTAAATTTTGATTTTTCGATATAAACTCGAAATTATTAAAAGCACTAGAAACCGAGCCAAAGGCAAGCCCAGAGAAAATAAAACATAAAGCACGAAATCACCATTCCATATCCTATGATATTTATAAATTTTTTGAACTCATACGTGAGTTCTTTTCTCGATATGGGATGACTTTATAGTTTGTTAGTTTTGGATTAGTGAGATGAGCTATTTATAAACCTTTCTAACTCTTCAAAACATGTTCATTTTCGATGTGGAATTGTGAGTTAGTGAAGTCACCTTTAGAATATATCTTTATCTCACATCGTTTAGTTTAACTTTTGAAGAGTGGAGGATAGCTTATAAATAAAGCCGGACTTCCTTGCTCCTCCTTGTGGTTTTGGGTTGTGGTTCGTAAAGTACGAGCTTTGGGCTTCAAATTTTATGGCCTATTATGGGTTGTTCTTCAAAGTGTTAGAACCGCAATAAAAAATATGAGTCTAACTTTAATTTTAATAAATTATAAGCTTATTTTAATTTAATTTAATGTTTAGTTTTCGATGGAAACCGATTTAAAATTTTTAGAAACCGAAAACGAAACCAAAAAGTGATTAAATTTTGGTTTGTTTTTTTTTTTGAATAAATTTAAATGAAAAATCGAATCAAAATAGCTATTTCAGTTTAGTTTTTCAGTTTTAATCGAAGTTTGCTCACCCCTACCATAGACACCCAATCAATAAGACGAAAAAAAAACCTTCGAGTTGCAATAAATCGGGAAGTCCAAGTGATAACATTTATAAAGAAATATCTCGGAATGGCATTAACTTTTCATGTCAATGTGTTAGGGCAATCAACAATTTGAAGAAATAAGACAAGAGTTTCAAGTAATTGTTGAAAATATAATGTTTTCAATTCTCTCTCTCTCTCTCTCTCTCTCTCTCTCTCTCAAGTTATTGCAAAAAATAACAATGGAAAAGGATGGGAAATATTTTGTTACTACCACAGTAGAGACGAGCTTGAAGTTGATGATGGTAACTAGGATCATTAATTTAATT